AAGAATCACACAGCCTCCTTCGTTCCACGAACGGGAGACCTGTTCTTAGTGTTTATCTGGCTAAAATGTATGTCTTTGATGAATTGAATTGTTGTTTCTTGGGAATAACCAAATGTTCAAGTATAAGAAAGCTCTTTATGCAGGGGGTGGGTTCGTTCCCCTGGGGGGATTGTGTCTGATTTTGTAAGGAATAAATATATGTATGGAAATGCCTCAGAGCTCCATCTCTCTGTCCGAGGACATTAAATAAATTTGAACCTTATTTCTTGCAAAAAATGCCTTCGCCTCAGCTTCCTAACTCCAAAATATATAAAACAAAGACAAAAAAAACAAACAAATGTCAACAAAAGAAGAAAAACAAAACAGAGAGACCAAAAAATATAAAATAATATTCACTCAAATATGATAGCTTGTCACACTATAACCCTCGGTCTTTTCCCAGGCCAGGTCCATAAGCCCTGTCCTCAACCTGCAAGATTTGGAGACATCAAGGTAGTCCAGAAATGGGTTGCAGGTCCGATAGAATACAAAGGGTTTGTCCTTTTAATGCCATAGAAAAAGCCTCAAATGTAACAATACCAGTCAGTTTGTTTCCACTGATTTAGAGTGGGGGTGTTGTCAGTGATCCAGATTAGCCAAGATACATTCCAGGGCACAGTGATGCAGAATGTGTTAAAGATCTTTGTGGTGAAAACCAACTGGCAGGTCATCCTCCAGTCCTTTTAGGCAAGTCCTTGCACTCAGATGTAGATGACACTTGAATATTAGACCTAACTGTTATACTCAAAACTGTTGGATATTAAAACTCCATAAACAATGAATAAATGAACCTACACCAGATTAACATTTATCACAGAGCTCTGAAAGGTTTGGATTAAATCTGTGTCTGTCTACAGGAGTGATAAAAAGCCTAGAAAAAATCATAAATTGCTTCTCTTATGCAGTTAGACACTAGGACCCTGGAGGGCTGGTCACACAGAGCATCCCAGTCCTCAGGCTTAACTGAACCTCAGTCAGATTCCCATAAGGTTGGAAATGTTCTAACTTAACATCAAAGTTTTTAAAACCGGAAAGAATATGTTTTTTTTCTTTTCTTTTTTTTGTCAGGACATTATCCTGAAAAATGCAGTGTCTTGGGCAAAGTTGGGGAAACAGTCGGTCCCTCCTGCTGCTATCAAAGCCTCTAAAGAGAGTTTTCAGCTGTTCCGTAAGGCCGCCATAGAGAAGGAGGAACGGGAGAAGGTGCAGAAGAGGAAACAGTCGGATAAAACCATAGAGACGGAGCCCGCTGAAAGGAGCAGGTGGCCACTATAGACACAATTCTATGGAGGGAAATTTGAGCATTTGTTGCAAATGCAAAACATATTTACTTGCAACAGCTTTAAGTTTT